TCTCAAAGTTGAAGTCTTTAAGTTCGTCGGTCTTCAAGTTTCAGTCTTCAAATTCGCCGATCTTAAAGTTGAATTGTTTAAGCCCTCCGAATCTTCGAGTTGAAGTCTGCAAAGTCCGCCAAATCTTCAAAGTTTTCCAAGTGTTCAAGTCGATGTCGTCTTCAAGTTGAAGCTTTATAACTTTCCAATCTTAAGGTGGACATATAAGTCCCTTTGCACCTTAAGTTGGCCTCTTCGTGGGTTTGTCCTTAAAAGGAACTATAACTTTCCAATCTTAAGGTGGACATATGAGTCCCTTTGCACCTTAAGTTGGCCTCACCGATAATTGAGCCATTTTGAGAGTAATCTCTCCAAGAACCGGGCCATTTTGAGAGTAATCTCTCCAAGAATCGGGCCATTTTGAGAGTAATATCTCCAAGAATTGGGTCACATTGAGAGTAATCTCTCCAAGAATCGAGCCATTTTGAGAGTAATCTCTCCAAGAATTGGGCCACATTGAGAGTAATCTCTCCAAGAATCGGGCCATGAAAGTAATCCCTCCGATAATTGGGCAAGGATAAGTACCCATCCCCTCACACCTTAAGACCGCCTTCTTCATGCGTGGATCATCTTGTTGAACAAGAACATATCTTTCTCGCTTGACCTACAAAAAAAGAAAGAAAAAAAAGACAACAAAACAAGAAAAGCACAAGAAAAGAAGAAGAAATTACCTTCGCGTTAATGCTTCTGAGTCTACAAAAATAAACTCAAAAGGCTTGCAAATACTACGAACTGATTTTCAACAAGCATGAACGCATGAGTTTATATAGGCTTTTCTAACATAGTGTTGAAAAGTTACCTTCGATGTGGGACATTGCTGCACATTGTTTCCTACAAGGATTTGGCTAGTAGAGGCGGCTTCGACATTTAGTTTCCCACATGAATTGGGATGTGGTGATTTGATATGATAATAATACTGTGTGTTCTACAATCCAAGTAGAAGTCTAATTAAGTAGTGGGAAGTTGCTCTGAGTGTACACGTGTTAGAAGTGCTAATCCAGAAAAGGTTCTAATTTAAGATTAATTTAGATAAGTATGGAATTCTTTAACGACACTGGATTCCGCCGTGAATGTTCGTCTTTTGACAAATTCAATAAGCAGTTCGTTTCCTCAAAATAAGGATGTAAGTTCAGGAGGGAATACGGAAAGATCCATTAGATAATGAACTGTTGGTTCTAAGCCATCTCTGACGATTAATCAACAATTCGAAGTGCTTTTCTTGCGTATTCTTGATAAACCAGCGTTTATATATAGATGTAGGAGGATCTGTTTGGGAATTGATTGGATATTTTATATACGAGATATTAATATAGTGGAGAAAAGAATACAACATGCTAAAGTAGCTAGTAAACAAATCATTGTCTTACATAGACAACTCAAATACTAGTGGCCTTGCAACATTTTTGCGTGCTGCCAAACACTCAAATTAAGCAACATGTCACTAGATAGACAAAGTGAAAGAGAAATTATGTAATTCAAGACTAGTCTTCGAAGATTAGTATTCCACAAGTCTTGAAGTATGGGGCATTTGTAAGCATGTAAAATTTATTGGATTCAAATTCAATAAATAATTTGGATTATATGTTAAATATACTAGTCCAAATAAATATTATGGGCTAATATGATTGGATTAATTATATAAATCCGATACACATGGATTAAATAATTAAGTCTTAATCCATTGGGCTAGCCCATTTAATTGGGCTAAAGTGATGAGTCCACTTCATTAAAGCCAAGATGACATCTTCCTAGAGGCCCAGTTTGGTGCCACGTGTCAAATGACGTGGCGCGCCAAGTCAAACGGATGAACCAATAGGATCATGACACGTGTCAAAATGACAAGGCATGCCAAGTCACACTAAAAGGCCAATGAAACCGTACCACGTGTGCAAGTGACATGTTCTGGCCAATCAAATGCGGCCATGTCACACTTCAATTTGATTGGTCAGAAAGAGTTTGTTCTTATCATAACTCTTCCCTTCCACAACTATAAATAGGGGTCTTCTTAACTCAGAAAAGACACCAGAAGTTATAACAAGAAGCAAGAAAGAGCTCGTGGATCAAACGCTGCAAATTTCTCTACAAGTTTCAAGCTTCAAGTTCAAGCTCAAGAAATCAAGTTCAAGCTCAAGAACGAAGAGCGAAGAACGAATCAAGGTCAAGTTCAAGCAATCAAGCTCAAGCTCAAGAACAAGATCATCGTTCGTGGAAACAAATATAGATTCAAGATCAAGCTCAAAGGCCCTTGAATTTATTTACTATTGGAAAGAAGAATTAGAGGATTCATAGAGATTGTAACACTCAAAATTCGAAATAAAATACTACAATTGTTGCAATATTTTCGGTCTTGATTTTATTTTCTCGACGCAATTTATTGTCTACAAGAAGCTACTTTTTTCTGTTTCTCCAAAACTGCTTCTGCTTCTCCTCAAAAACACTTTTTTCCTTCCAAAAGCTTGGCCAAACACCTCAATTTTTGGCCAAAAGTGCTTTTGGCCAAAAAAAGCATTTTTGGCCCAAAAAAAAGCTTGGCCAAACAAGCTATTAGTATGGAGTTGTTTGACTAAAAAGTATTAGGCATTTTTTTGTTAAACTAATTGAATAAGAAGATTTGGGGCAAATCCTAGCCAGAGATAATTTATGACAAAATTACACAATAATGCACTTCATAAGCAGACATTGCACTATTTTAGCCCAGTTATAAATTTGCAAATGTGTAGCCAAATATCAATAAGACCTTTTCTTTTACCATTCCCTCTGACTATAACAACCTCATCTTTTTTTTCATCACCTACCTACCCTATTATAGCTCTCTCCTCATTTTTCACCCATAAATATTTAATTTAATTAATAAAAGAGTATCATATGCAAACAAAAAATGAAAACGAAAATCAGTTCCCTATTTTTGGTGTAACCATTGATCGAGACACTCGGTCAACACTCATTCATGCCTTCTCCATAATCAATATTTCTCCAAATTGTTTCTTTTTGTTTTCTTATTTTGTGTATCTTTAGGCGTGAAATATCCGTGAGTTTTTATTCTCTTTTTTCCTCAAGTTTATACATACCTATCACAACTGCAAAACGCAAACAGACGCGAGAAACCTAAAATCTCATCTCGTTCAATGCTAATCTTCTTAAATTTCGATTATGATTTTGTAAGAAATTTGGAGTGGGTATTGTTTGAACTTATTAGAAATAGTCCAAGTAGGTTGTATACAAAGTTTGAAGTTATTTGCTGGAGAATTGGACTAGTTTTATACAAGAATTGCAAGTGAAAATCGTACAAAAAGTTCATCATAGATGCTTATACACTTTTATATAATGTTATACACTTTTATACAAAGAGGTACATTATGTATATAGTTGTATAAAAGTGTATAAAGATGTATAATCACAGTAGTAAAAATATTCGTGATACACTATGTATATAGGTGTATAAGAAGAATGAGAAGAAGAAGGGGAAGAAGAAGAAGAAAATGTGAGAAATTCACCAAATACCTGTAAATAATGTATCAACCTTGTATAAAATAGTGTATAAGAGGTGTTTATACACTTTATATACTATTTATACAATATTATACATTATTATACAAATAAATCCTATCAATGGAGCTTCATTAGTTCTTTTTCTTCCTTGGGCATCTTTTGAAATTTAACTCAAATCCAGCATAAATCTACTCCAAATCACTTGAAATTTAAGTTTTGAACTCCTGTTGATAATTCAAATCAATTGGGACAACACCCATTCCAAACAACTAACAAATCGAAAAATCCAATTTTCTGAAATCGAATCTTTGAACCATAAGTGACAAAATTACATAATAATGCACTTCATAAGAGATTACCATCTTTGAATCTGGAAGAAGAATTGAAGGAGAAAAACAATGGTAGAAAATTTTTGGGTTGCACTGTGCAAAGGCGTAACATGGGAAGAAGAAGAAGAAGAGCGAAGAAAAAAAAGGTGGGCTAACTGATGAAAAGTAATTTTCAGGTTATGTACAACCTGGGCTACACTGGGTAAGGGCTCCAAATTTGGGCCATTTTCTGATGGGTTGTTGTACCAAGTGACAAGGGGTGTAATTCTCCCTAAATAAAATAATATTCATAACAAATATAATTATGAAGGAATTTTTTTTCATTATAATCTCTAAAAGTATCTACAATATATTTCTCCTCCGCTCATTAAAATAAGCTACTAATACCCATATTTACAATAGTATGACACCTATTTCAACTAGAAATATGAAAACCTATTTCTATATAATTCTGACTACAAATCTTATTTAGACATGTATTGAATAAACTTGAAAATATCAAATCCTAAACACTTTCAATTTCCTATTACAACTTTAAATTAGTTTTCCAACAATTTAATTGCTTTTTCTTTTTTCATTTTGGCCGTAGCATCAAAAATGCTTGAAAGTAAAATCATTGACTACATAGTATAGAAACTTAAAAGTGAAAAGTATTAAATAAGGGTATAGTAGTAAAAGAACTCTCTTATTAATTGTTTCTTAAGAGACGTATAAAAGAAAAATAAGACAATTAAAAAGGACCGGAAGGAGTAATTGTTTCCAAGACAGACCTTGGAGTCTAAAATAAGTTGGCTCAATTGATCAAACATTTTGGAACCAGTTTGTTCATGTAAAAGGGGCTCATTAGCATAGTCCCCTGCATGTTGGTAGGATGAGGCTTAGAATCCTTTTGGAGTTTGGACATGTAATAGTTTCTCTCGGATTGTGGCACAAGCCTAAGGAATGGAGTTGATTCAATCAATGTTCCGAAAGTGATTGAAAAATTCTATCATTCTAATAAAAAAATTCAAAAAAGACGGACCTTTCACTGAAAAGTTGGATCTGGTCAATGTGCTTCCAAAAGATTAGGGTCATTTGTAACTTGATCATTGTTGTAAGCTAAATTTAGAGATCTATATCTGCTAAAACATACTATTTCTCTTATCTTATTGTTGCTGCTGAACTACTTATAAACTCCCAAGGATGATATCGATTGACAGTCTTCTGCAGGACATGTTGGAAACAGTTCGTGCTTTTCTAGCACTTTCATGCAGTACGTTTCTTGCATTGAACTTTTCTTTTTGCTGGCAGAGGCGGAGTCTGGATTTTACACTTGTGGGTTCGGAATTGTAATCCTTTTGAATTACTGGATTCTAAATTAATAATTTATATATATATATATATATATTCTTAAGACAAATATAGGGTTTGAACAAAAGCTACAGGGTTTGCCGAACCCGCATCTCACATTCTGGCTCCGCCCCTATTGCTGGAATATACATTAATGGACTTATTGGTCACTGCAAACAGGTTACTTCAGTAATGAAGAAGCAACTACCTCCATAACGGATTCAGATGGATGGTTAAGAATTGAAGATCTCTGCCTACATTGATGAGGATGGTTTCATTTTTGTGATTGATAGGCTGAAGGAGGTGATCAAGTATAAGAGTTATCAAGTAAGGGGATAATGAAATTTTTCATTCTTTTTTGGCACACAGCTCTGCTTTCATATTGAGTCTGTTGGTCCAATGATAATGTACAATTTACTTGATAAGGTACTTACTTCAGCCTATGCAAAAATCATAGCCATTCTCAAGTCCGAATATAGGAGGAGGGTTGCAATAGGTTGACACTGACTTTAATCAGCGTAATGGATATAATTGATTCATATAGCCGATGTTAACTAACCTTTTCTTTTTTGTCTGTAGGTGTCTCCATGCAAGAGGATAGAGAAGTTTGCATTTGTGGGTTCAATCCCCAAGAACAAGACACCTGGGAAGGATCTAATAAAGCTTGCAACGTCCAAACTTTAAATTTAGGATTTGGCCTTCTAATTATAGTAAGTTGAAGTTTATTGATAATATACATAAATGGGTTTTATCCAGGGACCCTGCTACTTGACTGTGAAATGCCTTGTGCACCGAGCTGTCCTTTTTTTAATTCATAAATGGGTTTTAGAGCTCTATGTTCTACCTTCAATCTTCGAGTATTATTACTGTGATTTCTTGAATGGTAGAGTCATCATCTTGGCAAATAGACTTATAGAACTAAAAAGAAAAAACACTGCTATGCAGACAACATATAAATGGAGCAGCAGCATCTTAACAGTATCCAACTGCAGGTGAAAGACATTAACTAGTCAAAGGTACCAGATATGTTGCATCAATCTTTAATTAGCAGATTTAGAAAGTAAAAGGCACAACAAACATTGTGCATTATTTTTGTGCAGACAGAAAAGTGTAACTTTGCTTCTCCTTAAAAGTAGTTAGCCGTTCGTTTAAATCAAGAAGATAGTCAAGTAAACTATTTTCCAGACAAAAGATAATAACGGATAGTCAAGTAAAGAATGTTCAATTCAAGACAAAAGATAATAACTACCCACCAATTACAAAGTAAACCTCATAACCAGAGACAAATAACAATAGACAAACTAAGGCTAGCACTATGACAACATCTAGGAACATAAGCAAACAAGCTTTGATGGAAAAAAATACCTTAAAAAACAAATATCATCGTGCATATATAGCAACAGTCCAAAAACGATCAAGCAACATACTAATTTGAATACCAAACTTCTTGCATCTGATCAATTAGATGAAGATTCCCTAAAATTGGTGGCTGAATAGAGTTAGATATAAATAAAAGGTACAGGGAAATTTGACAACAGAGGATAAACCTACAAGAAGAAATTTCAATGGGCCTCAGTGCCAACGTATAGGACAAGAGAACCATCATGAAGTGAAACTACCCCAACATTTTACCATTTAGTCAGCTTGTTTCTTCTTCCATATCATGTTTAAATTTAAAAAAAGAAAAAAAAGAAAAAAAAAGAGGACCAAATTAGTGATCAAGATTTTTCGTAATTTACATGAAAAAAGAATTGTTCGCTTGTAGTAGAAAAACACTACCTTCCTACGTCTCTACATCGACAATGGAAGAAGCATCCTTCGCTTCTTTTTACGGGCCGACCTAACTTGCTTTGTGATTTTCATGCATAAAAGCAATAGCAAGGTGACACATACTAAGATGAAAGCAAGCTTTAGATGCCTGAAGTACAATGAAACGGCAGAGAAAACCAGAAATGCTAAAATAACTAGTTCCCATATCACAAAGATGACAACATCCACCCTGCATCAACAGAATAGGAAAATAAATAAGGTGGACAGAAGGCACAAGACAAGGCAATTTGAAAATTACTGCCAGAAGTGAAAAATATGAATAGAGAATAGAACTCAAGAGAGAAGATGAACAAAACTGCTTCTCATGCAATGAATTTATACATTCAACAAATATAATGTTATGTTGTAAAAGATAATACTTATACATTACAACTGTTAAGGAAATCAATCGTTAGTCCTAAGGTGAACCGGCAGGCACTGCACTAGTTCATCAGTAGCAAAAGGTGTCAGTTCACAAATTCTAAGTAGCTCTAGGAACAAGCAGCAAGGATCCAATTCATTCATGTCTTTATCTAGCTCATTGTGAGTGACGACAATATCGTAAAGGAGGTCTATTTCAAACATTTTTACCAGTCCAGCATTTGTAGCCTCCATATGGGCTCTAGTGATTTTACTTGTCTTTCAAGAAATCTGTCAAAAAGAAAAACCCAGTCTTGGAATCCTAAGCTTTTCCCCTCGTCCAAAGGATCAAACTAAAAGCTTGGGGGAAGATCAAGTCCTATATGAATGTGAGATGTTTCTATCTTCTTCTGCTTAAGAATGGATTCCTAGAGGATTTTTTCCCCATAAATATTATTATGCGAGTTCAATCACGCTTCTTTTCTATCATAAAAATCTCCCTCGTGTACAAAGAAGAGTTTCAGACCTCTTGGAAGGGAAAACCCTATTAAGATCCAATACAAGCTTCCTTTGGAAAGATGATCAATTGGCATCTAATAGAGTATACCAATTTTAGAGAAGTCCTAATTTCTCTAAATTAAGTAGTGGAATAGAAAAGAACCAAATAGAGCAAATTGGATAACAGAAATTCATACAGTAGCCCAATTAGTTGGGAACAAAGTGTAGTAGTAGTTGTTTTTGTCATTGTTGGGTGGAAGTCAACACAAATCAACATGAGGGGAACTTAGAGGGCAGCCCAGTGCACTAAGCTCCTGTATGCGCGGGGTGCGGGGAAGGGCCGGACCACAAGGGTCTATTGTACGCAGCCTTACATCTCCAGTATTATAATTTAAAAAAAAAAAAAAAAATTCAAAGTCCAAGAGAGAAACTACTCGTCCTCACTTCATATACAACCTCAATAGGAATAGCAACAGAATTACTAGGTGGATGTGCAGTTGGGAAGCAAAACATCTTGTCGTTCGAAACATGGTTACAATACCTGCTAAGGGGGAGCATAACAGGGATGTAGACGTGTTTACATGGATACAACTGGAACTCAGTAATCACTGTGGGGAGAGAAAAATCCCAAAATATTCTCTTATGTTTAGGGTTTGAACCCAAATTATCCATGTTCTATTATATGGAGCACTAATAGTCCTTATAGTATGCATAACTAGTGCAGTTTTAGTCCAACTACAATGGGCAGCTTTAGAAACGGTACTGTGCTCATCTACAAGTAAAGTGCTTAAGAAGTTTTAGAAACTCCTTTTTATCCTTCTCAAAGTTGGTTACTTTGTGCCTTTAAACTGTACTTATTTGATTGCTAGAATACAGAAAGGTCATACTCTGCATATGTTATTGTGGCTATTCTAGGGTGTTGAAAGTTGACATATTGAGAATATTGAGGATGAGAAGTGGAAGACACATAGCACATACTTTGTTTCAACTCTTGGAGAACAAAGGTGATATGATCATGTAGAGATGAACGGACAATTTCTTTAGACAGTACATCTTCCCATAGTGCTGATATGTCTAGCATATGGGATCTCACCTTGCTTTCCCTTTAGCTATGCAAAAATTAATTGGTATAGAATCTCTACTCGGTATACTGGTGAGTAAAGAAGGAAAAGGGGTAGTTAAGAACTTAACCAACATTCCAAATTACATCGGGATTTCATAATTAGCATTCAATGACATAAAATGTTTAAAGTGAACAATTCCACTCAATGACCAAGTTGCTGACAGATTGTACACATAGGCATTTCCAAATCAATATAATCCATCTCATTCAAAAGCTGCCATTCTTAGCCATAAAGATATTACTCCTCCATTCCAATTTGTTTGGCACAATTTCCTAATTAGACCTTCCAAACGAATGACATGTTTCTATATTTGGCAACAATTAACTTTAAACTTAACTTCTCATTTAATCCTAAATGAGAAGCTTTTATAGACGCAAAAACACTATAGCATGTTTACGCCCACAAGTTCTACAGGTCTACATTTTCTTTCTGACGCTTCATGCCAAGTCAAACTATACCTTCATGAGAACATTGACACGCAAAATCTTCACTTTACAAGTATAAAAATTTAATCTTTCTGGCTTATAAGCCCAATTTGGTTTAATTACAAGAATAAAGGCCAAATGACAACAACAACAATAGGACACCTCAATCTCAAACTAGCTAGAGCCGGTTATATGAATTCTCTATATCCGTTTTGCACTTTCAAGTTCATTTCTTTCCGATACTCAACAATTAGACTTCTAACACAGGGGTTAGGTTCTCTATATATACAAAACTCTAGACCAACTAAAAATGCCTTTAAAAAATTCTAAGTGATAAAAGTTTCTAAATCAAATAGCCACGAGCATCTCGTAATTCAGACTGAAAAAGGATGATCTAAAAAGTCCGTAGTTGATGTAACGATGCCCAGAAAGAGACAGGAAAATCCAACAAGTGAGACATTAATTGAAAGGGATAAACCCTAAAGTGGAACTGAATAGAAAATAAAAAAAGGATGTGATGCAATACCTAGAAGAAGAAGTGAGATTAGAGAAGGTGGAGGAGAAGAAAGAGACGGAAGCCCAATCATGTTTGGATCTAATCTGATACTCTCTCAGCTGCTCCGCCAAATTCGATCTCGTAATCATCCTCTTCCTCTCACCCTTCTCCCTCTTTCTCTATTTCTCTTTCTCAATCTATCAAATATAGTTGAGTTTCTGATTGTGTTTCTGTAAGTCACATTTGCTCCGATCAATTTGACGGAGTTTTTGAGGAGCTGATCGCGCCGGCGACTAGTCCACCGCCGACGACCGAAAGGAAATTGAAAGGAATTTGCTTACAGAGAAAGGAGGAAGAAAGGATGAAAGACCTGTAGTAAAGTTAGTTGAGGTTGTTCCGATGGAAAATGACGAAAATGGTACCGTATGTTTTGGAATATGTTTAACATGGTCCTTTAAATATACTCCTAAGCAATTTTGATCCTTTAAAATTACAAAAAGTGAGCACTTTTAATCTCCTTCAACTATTTAACAAAAAATATGAAAAACAGATTTAACCATAACCATTAAGAAAGTACCTTCAAGTACAAACAGAAAAACTGCACTAGATAGTATAAATAGACTAAAAATAACAGAAATTGTACCTTAAAAAACTGCATCAAACACTAGAATTAGATCGTATAGAACAGAAATTGCAAACAACAACAACAACAATCCAGTAAAATCCCATTAATGGGTAATGTGTACGCAGATCTTACCCTTACCCCGAGGAGAGAACGGAAATTGCAAAGACTCCATGAATACTAAAAATGCTCATATTTTGGCTGAGTTAAAGGATAAAATTGTGCAGGGTATTATTTAAGAGACTATTTTGAGCTTTTCTCCAAACATAAGCGACCATTTTTGTTGTTTTCTATTATTCTGATTTTCCAACATGTAGTAAGAATTCAAGTACTCCAAGTCTCCAAAATCTCTCCTTTTATTTTCTTTTTAGTTAGGAGTTTCATTTTTATATAGAAAATAATAGATTACTCTAATGA